GGATTGACCGTCACATTATAATGCCCCCACGGCTGAAAGGGCGAGCATGTTTGGTGTGACGGGGGATTCGAACCCGCGACCTGCATATTGCGAGTCGAGCGCCCTAACCATCTGGCCATGCCGGACTTGTTTTATTAATGAGCAAAGATTCCAGTTTTTCTTGAAAAAATAATAAGATTATCTGATAAAAAATAAAAAACCCAGCGATTTTCGTGATTACAATTAAAAGGTAAACTCGATTCCCTCTAACCACATTACACACACGTATATTAGTTAAATGCAATGTTTTATTCACACATTTACTAAATAAGTCGGAGCTTACCACACCATCGACTAATAAAACAAATTTAAATAAATGAACTTCCATACATAAATTGAAATAAATAAATGAACTCACTGTACATTTTATTTCAAGAATGTCTGTGTAGGCCTGCTGTAGTCTAGATTTACAGAAAAACAGTAGAAAAAACGTTCCGGTACGAAAAAAAAAAGTTTTAGTTCACTCTTTGTAACTGCTCTTTGCCAAAGGTCATGTTTTTATGCATATATATACACACACAGAAAAACGAACCTCTTTAAGCATTTTATTAAAGTGTTTTTATATGAAATTAAAGTGTACAATCAAACACGAGAAGGTAATATTGTGCACATTGCAGAAGTTAACTCTGATGCTTACACAACGAATTCGATCGTTATAGTACATAGAGGTTCTTTATTCCCACAAATTCTACATTCTTACGTCGTAATGAGTTCAGGCGCCACAGTCTCAACGTAGGCCGGTGTGTATTAAAATACTAGCGCCGATTTTTCGTCTCAAGTCTGTCACTGACCTCTTGGTATGTCTTTATATTGTATTTTGTAGTCATGATTTGTGATGCACTATGAACATGACCTTGAATCCTATATCGTCGTTCGACTTTCTGTATACGTGTTGCATTACGGTTTTAACTATATCATAACACGATAATAATAATTGTGATTGTTACCGTTTTTCCTGCGCTACGGTGGTAACATTAGTACCGATTATTACCACAGTTACAAAGTAATAATCATTGTTCATCTTTACTGTGTCCTGTGTTGGGACATGTAATACTTGTTTTTGTTATTATTTATTTTACTAGCGTATAGCCCGTCAAAATTGACGGGGCAAGTACTACCACCCCTCCCCATAGTATACCCTAACCTCACATTTCATAGCTAACTGAAATAAATCAATCAAATTTGACCAACAAAGAGGCAGAAAAATGTAGTCGAGGTAGTCAAACGTCAGTAAATTCCTTTGTGAGCCAATCAAAATTAAGACCATTCATGAAATGAATTTGTGGCATATTCATAGAATAATTATTGGTAAAAAATCAGTTAGATTAACAATTTATAATATATAGAAAAGTATGATGGTACGTGAGATAACATTTGCTCAGTATTACCGTTTCCCATATGAAGGAACAACTGTTTGCCACTACGAAAAAATGATTTTTTTCCCCATACGGATTGACTCTGTAATAGCTGTGAAACATTTTAAATTACAATAATACAGTTTTTACTATTTGCAAATATTATGATGTTTATTGCATTGTACTATAGGAAGCAAAATTTCTAAAAGCTTATCTAGTTACAAAAATAATAAATAAAATAACAAAAATACTTCTAAGTTATCTTGAACCTACCCAAAAGAAAACTGTTGCTTCTTTAGTTTCTTTTTTCACTCCTGGAAAGGTTTTCAAATCTCAATTCCTTTGGCTACCCAATGGCAAGTTAAGTTAAGAAAACGTAGCAGAGAGGAAGAGAACACTGTATCGTGTGATCTGTTTTTGTCATGTAATTCTCCATATAAAATGTAAAGGACCCGTGTATATTAGCAAACTGTACATATCAAAATGACACTGAGGTACAGAAAAAAATGGGACAATTTAATAGTTTTACTGCTTATGATCGGGACACACACTCACACACAAAAGGATAAGAAATAGGACGTCTGGTAACCCTATTTATGAAGCAGTAATTACTGATGGGGGCCCTTATGGAATTATCGTATCCGTTTTTCTGTCAGCTACCATGTTTTCATATAATTGCATTGGCGTCTGTAAGGTTAAAACATTGTTTAGTAAATTGATAGCGAAGTACAGTCATACACGTAAAGAGGGTTTTACTTTAGTATCACAGGAAATGATTAGAAATATTTGCTAATGCAAAATACTGATAGTATCGTGAACATTGTCGTTAACATATAAAATATAAATAACCAACCACTCATACGTGTTATTCCTTTGATTATAATGATAAAGTACAGAATTTATAAATATGCTTATTCACTTAATTTACAAACGACATTCTTAATGTATTTAGGTAGAAGCTGTTGTATAAAATGATTGCACTTAACAAAAGCTAAGACGATCCTCATAATACTGATTTAGAATTTTTCGAACAAGACAAGTGTTGTAGCTGTTTTCTCACATTAATAAACAGACGCACAGACAGACCTTTTTAACGCAACACTCGGGGAACCATTCATAACGGGTAGTCCCGTCTGACAGGAGAGAGGTGGGGGGGGGGGAGAATTTGAGTAGTGTTAGTTGAACTTACGGTGTTTGTGTGCCCTCAGTGACGGCTTTGTCTTGTGGCTGGCATGCGCTTACCGCTGTAATCTCGGGCCAGCAAGTTTCACAGGATGAATTTTACTGGTTTGTAGTACTAGCTGCGTTACGAAGAAAGGCAGACTTCACTCAGTGAACGAGCCAGAATCCAGATAAGAAACAGTATTTTTGAGTGCTCATTTCGTATAAGGTGTCGGTTAGGTTTAAATAGTTGGAAGTCACGACGCCTCGTATTACAGATAACTAAGGGTTTTTGTGTAAACTGCTTGAAGCACTGTAGAAATATTTATCATAAGTTAGCAGTACCGTTCCTCTACAAGCTGGCTGTCTCAGAATGAGAGCGTGAATGTGGTCACGTGACTCGAACTCGGTTTGACATGCTTGCCCTGTGGAAAGGTACGTTTAAGTTTTGTATTTTTCTTGTATGGTTCTGTGTGAAAAGTATGATACAGAAACCTCCTCTTGCATAACAGATAATACGGCTATACATTTAGCTAAGAATATTCGCGCCTTTTATAGATCCAGGTGAATTGATCTGAGCTTTGTGTTTATTCTAAAGAAAACATGCATGTTTAAAATGAAACTGGTGATTTATAAGTACGTTACAATTTACGCTTCTTTGTTTCATGAGCAACTCTGTAAGAAAAAATGTGTCATTTTCCTGCAGCGTTGAAACTTGCGTATCGTTAATTTCAAGTATGATCATGTTTTATTTGTATTATTAATATTATGCGGCGTCATGCACCTATAATAAAGTGTTCAGAGCATTTATGTATTAGAAATACGTTGCGCTAGTATAAGCTTGCACGCATACACACATACAAAGTCGATAAGGACTGTGCACAAACTTATGTAAACTTTAACAAAAGGATATATATATCTTAACATTAATAAGAAAACACAAATCCTATTGTATGCATTTCATAAAAGTAAGTAATTGAAGAAAACACGATAAAACAAAGTTTTAATGTCGAATATATCGAGGTTTGAAATTATTGACCGAGAAGTGAACAGACTTTTAAAATTCATTTTTTAGCCGCCAGATTTCTTTGCTAGAATTAGTCTTTGTGTCGTGGTTTACTAGCATTAACCAATCAGATTAGTCGTTATGTAACTGCTGGCATTGACCCAGTGTAGATATAGTGAATTATTTTTTTTTGGAGTAGGTTATTGGCTTTGATCTATTGACTATATACTAGATTAGTGTTTTTCTAGTAGTTTACTAGCATTGATCCAATGTAGGTGTACTAGGTTAGTCCCGTTTCTAGTAGAATGGGACGACGTTTCAGCTTCTAAAGTGAGGCCATCTTCAGGTTAATCTTTATGTTGTTTTCATATTCTAGTTTAATATAGTATACTGGTATTAACCCACTGTGTATATACTAGGTTAGTTTTTATGTAATAGTTTACTGGCGTTAATCCATTGCGCGTAATATTAGATTAGTATTTATGTAATCCATTTCACGTTATTTTAATTAGTACTTACGTTGTGGTTTAGTGGCATTAATCCATTGCACGTAATGCTAGATTAGTATGTACGCAATAGTTTAGTGGCATTAATCTATTGCACGTAATGCTAGATTAGTATGTATGTAGTAGTTTAGTAGCATTAATTCATTGTATGTAACGTCACATTAGCATTTATAAAGTAGTTTAGTAGCATTAATTCATTGTATGTAACGTCACATTAGCATTTATAAAGTAGTTTAGTGGCATTAATCCATTGTACGTAATACTAGGTTAGTACTTATGTAATAATTTACTGATATTACTCCACTGCGCGTAATGTTAGATTAGTCGTTATGAAATATGTACTATTAACTTACTGGTGTTGATCTGTTGGAGATATGCCAGATTAGTCTGTACGTAATACTAATAGTTTATTAGCATTGATTAGTTGTGCATATCAGAGTAGATTTTCAATGGTGAGGGGGAAAAAAAAACAACAAGTACATCTCGAAATCTGTCAAGTATTTTGCTCAGATCAAATCATTAGAATTGTTCGAAAAACAAGAAGCGCACTTTTTTCAACTGCCACAATTGTAACCTTACGTTTAGTACAGCACATAATTATGTAAGTATACTTAATTACTTGTATAAGAACGATTGTAACTTTTTCACCTGTCTTTTGGGGTGTATATATATATATAATACTTAAACTTCTGGTACAATCACATATAGTTGCTTTGAATCATCCATGACCTTGAAAGCCACGACCATATGTACGTAGCAGGCTCCAGAGTGCTCTCAAAAGGGTGTCCTCCGGTGGTACAGCGGTAAGTTTAAGAACTTCCAACGTTAAAATCCGAGGCACGATTCCACACGGTGGACGCAGCAGATAAATGTGGTTTTGCTTTCAAACAAACTAACTTGCTGTGGTGGGTGAAATTTGTTACGTTTTATTTTATTTTCACCACGTATTAGAATACTTAACTTCTTGAAGAGTACGGAGTCGAGTATGTTAGATTAAAACGATTTTGAATATGCAAATACACAAGTCACGTGACAACCACAGCCGATGTAAAGTCGCAGTCGAACGGCATGAACGTAGGTAGAATGATGCCATCAAAAATTTACCACTTTTGGGAAGAGTATGTAATGGCCTTTTCCAACACAAAATATTCATACATTCGGATTGTAAAGAATGGGTGAGATTGGAGATTTAACCTTTCCAAGAGGGGATATACATTGTATTTAATGGCATTAGAAAACGGGAATGGATCAACCTGGAACACCAGGACCATCCAAAAAGAGATCTGCGTCAAGTCGTACTCTAAACATGGTAAGCAAAGTGCATCATTTTGTAACAAGTGAGAATCCACAAACCCAAAGGTCAGTGGCAAAAGCTGTCCACGTGACTCAGACAAACACTACGCAACATAAGCAAGAAAGATTTTCGTCTGGAAAAGCGACATCAGTTGCTTCCATGAAATATCTGTTCAAACATCGCATATCTCAAGCAGCTGGAGAGTAAAACTGGTACTTATGCTATTTCATACAAAAACTGGCATGTCAAGTTGCCGGACGCAGCTCTTATGGATTTCTGTGCGATCAGACCGTTGAAATGGGTGCTGGAAAAATCATTATTCTCGTACACTAGATGGATTATGAAAAGCCTGCAACGAGGAGGGATGTGCTTTGGACATTTCAGCCTCACCACGGAGCTTTTTGCAATGGAAACGATGCTGCAAAGCTATTGACAAAATGTCGTCGTCTGCTCGTTAGGTATGATCCAAGCTGAAGCTTTGGTTTTTAGCTGATCACGATTATATCGTAAGGATGACACACAAGCCAAAGCTATGGTTCTTAGCTGATAAAGATGGTATCGCAGGGATGAGACAAGGTTGGGTACTTTATATTAAAACGATTTTCGAGCCTCAGCGTGTCGTTAAAGTCCACGTAGCCACGTCTGGTCATGCTCTATCTGATGCCTGTAATCGTACTATAGTTATTGGAAGTGGGTAAAATCTGTCGTTGTTCAATTTGAAAATAATAGAATAACAGTATAACTTGCACCCAACCTAACATACTGTGTAAATTAACATAGCAAACATAAAAAATAGCATCAACTATATTGTAAGTTGACGATCAGTTTAGTACTGTAAAGCAGTGATGAATACATAAATACACTCAACTGTCAATACTATATAAGAAATCAAAATAATACAGAATTGTACCAATTCTCGAAAACTGAAAGCTATTATCTTAAGGAGTAAATCCTGCAGGAGTAATATATATACAACCAGAAAAAAAAGCGTTTGAGAATACACATTCAACTGTGACGCAAAAAAGGAAAAAAAATGTGTGTATGTGTGTGTATGATATAAATAAGGGACACGTGTGTTTATTATCTATTTACTATTTTACGCTTTTACTGACTTAAGAGATTATTTCCCCGAAAGTTTTTAAAACATATTTGTTGTAAACCACGTATCTCGAAAAACAACTTGTTGAACCTATTAAAAGTGTGCAAATTATGAAGTTAGATAGGGCTATACTTATTCACTTTCTTCCTGTTAAGTCGAAATTGCTTGTAACCTCACTGCGGTGTGACTCATGAGGCCATGGGTGACAAGTTTGTCTACGAAGCAGTCTTGTCTGTACTACAGATAGTGTAATAGAGGTCAATATAAAAAAGTACGTGATCCTGTTGAATGCAGACTACCATGACAGGAGCGACTCTTCTGTCATAATAATGGAGGTCAATATAAAAAGTACGTGATCTTGTTGAATGCAGACTACGTGTTGAGGGCGAATCTGCCATGATAAAAATGACAATATCGTAAGACTTGAAAATTTGGTTACACATATAAAAGGGGAGTCTTAACTATTCACAGGAGTATCTCTTAAAACGAAATGGCAGTAAAATTAAGTTAGAATACCTGCTAACATGTTATGCAGTGGTGCAAGTATGCCCCTGTAGCTACCACGATTGTGTGGAGGCTGACAAACTTAAGAATTGCCGACAAGGGGAATAAATGGAGGGGCCCAGTTACTTTTTATGTGGGGGGAGGGGGCGTATTTTGTAGCTACGACACTAATGCTATGTATTTTTAAATCTCATGAATTTTATTTTGTACGCTTCTAATTGAGAACATAACATACGACCACAAATAATAACTTAGTTTAGGATTCAATAATACGACAAGGTAAGTAACAAGAAACCTTCTGTAGTGTCCCCCGATTGGATAGCGGGAAGTCCACGGTCTTATAACGCTAAATTCCGTGGTTTGATTCCCCGCTGAGAACACAGCAGATAGCCCAATATGGCTTTGCTCTAAAACAAACAAAAGCCTCCTGTAGTTTAGGAGTTATTAAGTAAGTAATAATAAAAACTGTAGTTTAGGAATTAAAGATAGGACAAGGTCAGTAACAAGTGAAAACTATTGTATTTTCGGAATTAATAATACGATAAGGGCAGTGATTATTTCGTTTCTTTGCAGTGACATTGTTTTCTTGCAAAGTCTTCAAATTGGCGAAGCTAGGGAACTCGCATGCCAAGTTATATGGCGTATTGCTTTCGTCATCTCTAGCGTCGTGCTGGTCCGATTTTCAAAATCACAGGTAAACTGGCAAGTAAAAGGACGTGCAACACCGTGACAACTTGAAGACTCACGTGCACAGGAAGGACCGCAATCCAATATATATTGTTATCTGTTTAACAATCTGTGGGGTGGTTCATAAACCTACCCAGATTGATTGGGTTGTCTTTCTGCTGTCAGGTTGGACCTGTTGAATGAAATGCAACTGACATTTTATGGAAATAATCATACAAGTTCTAGCGAAGCTATAGTGGGTTAGAATAGAAGTAGAATTCTCACAATTTATTTATATAGTGCTAGGAAGTGTGGAGTTTGCAAAGTAGACTGTCATTTTTTAGCGTGCCTGATTATGGATCCGAAGTTCTGTGGTTCGCGCCACATTACCGCCCAAAACAAACAAACAAACAAAAAAGGATTACGCTCCGTACTTTGGGGGCATGGCCCAATGGTTAGGGCACTCGACTCGTAAATGAGGGTTGCAGGTTCGAATCCTGTCACCTAACATGCTTATCCTTTCAGTCGTGGGGATGTTATAACGTGACGATTAAACCCACTAGTCGTTGATAAAGAGTAGCCCAAAGGTTAGTGGTGGGTGGTATTGACTAACTGCTTTCCCTCTATTACTTCAACATTATGGAAGTATAGAGCTGATAGGCATCGAGTAACTTTGCGCTAAATTCAACAAACAAACAAAGTTTTAGAGTAGCTCACAAGTTGGCCGTGGGTGGTGTCCACTAGCTGCTTTCCTTCTAATATGTCACAATTAGGGACGGCTGGCACGGGTAACCATTAAGTAGCTTTTAGAGAAATTTAATAAACAACAACATAATGCCGTAATTAAATCAGTTCTGGAGACTTAATCATCTTCATTTGAATATTTTTTTATAGCAGAGATAATATAGGTTTATTTTTAGTTCTGTAAGAGTCAGTTGACAAAGGGTAAATACATATGCACGCTACTGTTACTTTTCACTTGTGCAACATCTGATAAAAAAGAAAAGAAATAAACGTTAAAGCTCAGATTTGGCACAAAGCCCTGTGGTGTTTTTGTTCAATCCCTCTACAAACCTGTAATATTGGTAAGACCTCGAAGTTTTACGACTTGGAATATATGTTAGACAATGACGAATGAAGTTTTCATTTTAGTATGTCCAATTTCGTATGCTCTTAGTGTTACGAACACGTTGTTAACTAACAAGCAGCTGTAGAAATGAATTCCTAATGTTCATAGGTTTTTATGTTGTCTGCATAAAGAGGAAGGAATGTGATTACAGTTTTTTTTTTTTTATATACCACTCATTCTCAATGTGTAATCAAAAGGCAGTACCCATCTTGCTTCTAAGCTTTGTGGTTCTTGTTAAAGCACGTGCTTTAAAAATGATGTGGCAGCTGGTCCTGGCGTCCGCCAAACACGTGCTATCTGGGCGGGCCGCGAGGGCGAGTTAACTGGTAAGCTAGTTTTTATAAGATTTTCTTGCAGAACGGCAGGTGATGAGAAATCTTTTGATTGCCCCACGGAAATCGTTATAAACTTTACTCCAGTTATTTATGTATATAGCTTTAGATCGCCTTCGCTTCTTGTGTGTATATATATATGTATTCATAGCATAGTTGGAAGTAAAATATTTTATGAGATCTATTCTTACTCAGTACAGATTTTAAAATACCGCAAACCACGTGATTTGATGGTGTGTACAAAGCCAGATCATTCAAAAGAAGCAAGTGTTTGTGACTTGTGTTCTCATGTGTTCTTGAAAATTCTGAAAATTAAATTCAAAACAATACGTGACACAATAATATATAGTATTGTTTATTTGTAATTAAGCACAAAGCTACACAATGGGCTATCTGTGCTCTGACCACCACGGGTATCGAAACCCGGATTATAGCGTTGTAAGTCCGCAGTCGTACCGCCGTGCCACTGGGGGACAGTATACAGTAATTAATAATATTCAGTGAGTGATCCCAACTATACCTTACTTGAAATTTTATACTGTTGTAATTTGTTTGGTTAATGGTTAGCTAATGAAATGTATGTTATTTATTCATTATAATTTGGATATTTGTTTTCATTGTGCAGTTAACTTGTCAACTTCAAAATGTAATAAAGTTTTAGATTGTTATATGATAACTAATATTGAATTTAAAATTTTCTTCTAAATGTTATCCTGCGATTTTTCAGTGTATAAAATATCATTTTTCAAAACCTTTAATAAAACTCTTTGTCATGATTTTATTAACGATGTCATTGAAAAAAAAACGATTTTGTGGCAAAGAAATCGACTTAACATATAAAGCATTTACACATGGCAATTAAAATTCCTTTTAACGCTACGCCATCTGTTGATAGCATAATTAATTATATCATTACATGAAGATCATGTATTATTAATCAAATACATTTATTTTGTTAAAATACTGTATAGGACTTCGATAACAAATAATAATAATAGTTTTACTAGCAAATACTTTTCAAGTGTGAATAATCAACACATGTTGAGATCGCTTATGAAATCAATTTATTTTACATTGAAATACAATTTAATAAACAATCTAAAGAATTGCTAAAAATTGTCTAGCCTATTTATTATATTGTATTACTTATATATAAATACGAGTATATCAACAATAAAAACGTATTCCAAAACAGTTGTGATAGTAAAGGTGATACGATAAAACAATATTCTCAGAATTCGACTAGATTTTCTTACTGTATTCACTTTGATAATTTCTGTTTGTTCAATTTATTGAAGGAACTATTAATGCTCAATTCTACTCTCAGAATTGCCTCATTTAATCCGGCTACTACGTTTAACATTAAGAATTATTGCATCCACCTCTGTATGATAGTTATGATTCCACAGTCTAAGAGCATTGAATGAACTCCCTCCTGTTATATAAGAGATTAATCAGTTTATCTGAACCTCTCCCTATATTCACAACTTTTTTATATTGTTTTGGCAAAATACTGTTTTTCCAGACAAGTTAGAATTTAGGTCTCTGTATGTACAATAATATACAAAAAAAGAGTAAGTGTAACATTAGTACACACTGCTCTTTATTTTCTTGGGAAAACATATTGAGTGTTATGTATTTTTCGTAGTATTTTTTCTGCGTCAAGTGAACTTTTAGCGCTAACTATAATCTCATTACATTCATAGGACTCCCCCATGGGTCCAAGTCCCTTTCTGGAGCAGTAAAACCTTCTGGTGATACTCAACGACCTGGAAGTCAAAACCACCACACTACATCTCCAGTAGACTCAGCTTCGTCTCATTCTGGCAGTGTCATTGTCTCATGTGCTACATCTAGCAGTAACCCTGCTTTAAAGGCACCTTGCACATCAAGCTTTGCTGCAGCACTGAAGAAACTTGCAAAACAAGCTGTAGATCCAGTCACAAGTATGTATTGTTGTAAGCTGTATTTTCAGTGGTTTAATTTGTTTGTTTGCTAGAGAGTGCATGATGTTAATATCAAGTATGTTTATAAAAATAGTCATAGAATACCTAGAATGAATGTTCGTGAATGTTGGTAATTGACAGAAACTGCGAAATATCTAGAACAAGGATGCAGATATAACTATGAATGACAGTCAATTAGTAGAGTGATAGCTAAACTGGATAGCTAAAAGGAAGTTTATTTGTACGTTAGTCATGCGTTTGTTAGCGAGTAACTTTATTTGAAAGTTAAAATATTATTGGTGAACTTATGTCAACTGTAGACAAGTGATAGTTTTAGTAGCTTGTAACAAGTGTTATGGAAAAATTTGTTATAGTTACGTGGCATGGTATTTGCATTATTTTCATCAAATCATTTAAAAGCATGTACTCGAAGAAAGAACAACATTGCAACACTGGTGTCAGAAATGGGATTATTTTGATGAAAAAATATAACTTGGTTCAGTTTCAATATGACAACAAGATTCAGAAACGAGATTGAAGGTTTGCTAGAGATAATAAAACAATTACAAGAAGAACAGGAAAAGAAAATTAATAAGAAAGAGACAGAAAATTAGAAGAAAGACTAAGAAAAAAAGAGACAAAAAAATATATCAAAAAGGAAGAGACAAAATCAGAAGAAATTACATTTAAAGAAATATTAAGAATAGAAATAAATTTGATAGAAGACAATAACCACGAAACTATTGGGGATGCATAAAGAGATTACAACAAAAAGTTTGAAGAAATGCAGAATGACATCAAAATATGCACAGGAAGGCTGTAATGGCAAAATTTAATAAGTACAAAAAGATATATATGAAGAGTATAATAGCAAGGTCAATGAGTGACAGAATAAAACATTTGGAAAACGAATTGGCAAATGCAAAGATAAAACCAGTCACACTTGTTTTTGCATTGGCCCAAAAATTCCAACCAAAAGCATCAGTACTATAATATAGAATAGTAGAACTTATTTGGACTACACCTTTTTACCTCTACTGCTGTGTTATCTGTTATTACAGGGCATTTCTGGACTACCCCAGCCATGTCATTACAAAATTCAGTTCCAGAATTTTGCTGGCCAATTAAAGAGCATTGTCTAATTGAGAAACTAGCTGAATATGATAAAAAAGATACCATGGAAGGCATATCAGGATCCGTTTGAAATAATTTCCAAAGTAAACAGATGGAATAGTGAATAACAAGCTACTCATCTTGCTGATCACTTAAAAGGACAAGCTTTAACAACATTAAGTAACATTCCAGCTGAGAGCCATAACGACTATCAAGTACTTGTAGCTGTCTTATCCAATAGATTTGGAGTGACAAATCAGAAGGAAGTATCCAGAACAAGTTCTAGAAAATGGTACAGAGGAAAGAAGAGACCTTAGTTCAATTTATAGAAGATTCAAAAATGATTGCTAAATTATCTTAACCAAAATGTTCCACGTGCAATGATTGATTCGTTTTATGATTTTTTTTTGGTTTTTTTTTTGATACATTGATATATCTTTTCAACCTACAATTAGGAAATCTTATTTGAAGTAAATATAAACTACATGTACAAAGTTATTAAATAAAAACCTCTCAAATGTGAGGAAAATGTTTGCGCACGCCTAGCAAAAAGTCACGAGCTGTCGGTCTAACATTTTTACTACAGCTTTACCTAAGAGTAAAAGTGGACCATTTTTAGTTTTTTGTCATTCGGATTAAAGACGGCTGACTTACAGCAGTAATACTATAAGATGCATAAGGACCGGTTAGGCCAAGCAAATTAGATTAACAATACCTAGCTCATGTTTTTAATAGAATCATACGGATGGACTGCTATTGTTGATTATTCATTGCCAACTTTTGAGCACAAGTTTTCTAAATTTTATGAAATTATCCCAATTAGGGAGCGTTTAGCGTCACGTGATATTAGTTTAAGCAATTAGCAGTTAGCTAGGCCGCGTATTTTGTTTTACCCTCTATCATGCTCCAAGTTGAACAAAAAACACGGCCTGGCTAACTAATGATTGAATATTCTCTGTAAAATTCTTATCAATGCTATAAGTGTAGCTACCAGTTTGGTCGCCAATTTTGATTTCACTCAATCTTTTTTTCGGCCGCACCTTTTTTTCACACCTAAGCTGTTTGTAATTAGGTTTATTTATAACATAACATATTATTAAAGTATTCATTATTGCATCACCAAAAGTTTAGTATAAGTTTTAAGAACCTATTATGTATATACTTAAAACGTGGTATACCCTGTGCGATGGTTAGGGTGACTTTGTAGGAAGAGATAGCGGAAAAAATAATGGCAGTAGGGTTGCTTTCTATTACCCGCTTTCAACATCCAGCTCTTAATGTCCCTCCACATTGTTTCAAGTGATTAATTAACTGACGGTAACTGGCCACAGAAGTGTATTACGGGCCAAAGTTGAAAGGTCACGGGTCAAAGTAGGAAGTGGGTATAACTAAAGAAACGGCTCTTCGTATCAGCCTTATGGTGGCTGTTGGAGTAGAAACTTCAGCTGAGTTTATACAGTATTCCAATAGCGGCGGCCATTTATCTTCCTTGCATTCCTCCATAGAGAGTGCTAGTGCACTCGCTGAGGTGTTTAAGACGTTTGTATGCTGTCCTGCTGTGTATTTTTTGTTTTTGGTGTAAGGATGTGGGCGCTATCCATGAATGTAGATAACGTTAACTTACGTCATAGATAATAAATGCCCATGAACATGCTAAACTATCATTTCACAAAGTATGGTTGAGATTGGCCCAGTGACCTAGGAGTAGTTAAACAAACAGACAGACACACAGACTTTTGTGCTTTATATTTATAGATGCTCAGCCATAGTTCATCCTCTATCCAAATATTAAGAAAAAGCAAATAAGTTTTGTTGGACTGTTGATTGTAAATAATCATTCAACAAACTGAAGAAAGAATTGACCACTACTCTTTTATTAGTGTACCCAACTCTTGAAGATCCTTATGCATTACCCTGGACAGAACATTGTAAATGCTTATGCATTTTCCCAAAGACCATGTGTTAATGGAGAGTGTAAATACTGTGAAAAGAAGGAAGCATAAGGTAGTAAAGAAGACCAACTTAAAGTACACCAGAGTATAATCCAAGATATAACATTCCTCAGTTGATCAAGAATAGAGGATAAAGACCTCTTTTGGCAAAGAATTGCTCCCTAAATCCTAAAGATAAAGATGTATTGGGCACAGAGTGATTCATAATGTTTAGAAGAAGGCTTGTTATGTCAGAAATTGGAAGATATCAGTGGCCAGAAACAATAAATACAGTTGTTATTTCCACAGTCTACACACTGAAGCATTCAGTCTCCACAGTGTTCCAATGGCTAGACACTTAGGTGTTAAGAAGACAATTAAGAACACTTCTATTGGGGTGCATGCTGGAGATTTGTTAGAGAATTGGCATAAAACGTAAACAGTGCTGTGAGCAAAAAGGTTCATGGGCAACTACAAAAGTATTGTGTTGGAGTATCACTGGAGATAGTTGCTGTTGATGTGCTTGGTACTCTGCCATAAAGTAATAGTGGGAATAAATACATCATGGTTATGATGGATTATTTCACAGAATGGCCAGAAGCATATGCTGCTCCTAATCAGGAAGCAGAAACTTTAGAAAGGAAACTCGTTAATGAATTTGTTTCAAGATTTGGCATGTCTGAAGAACTTCACTCAGATCAGAGATAGAATTTTAAATTAGCCTTGTATGTGGAAATGTTTTGGATCTTTGGGATCAAAAAGACAAGAACAGTAGCCCTTCATTCATCTTCTGATTGTGTGGTAGAGAGATGCAAGTGTACATTGTTAAAACAATTATCCATTTATGTGGACGAGTATCAGAAAATGTGGGATCAAGATCTTCCACTGTTACCGATGGGTTGTTGTACAGCATATATGAAGCTACAGGCAACACACCATCACCACTGATGTTTTGGAGAGAACTTAAAGTGCCATTGGACTTTTTGTACTCTCATTTGGAGAACACTCATGTGGCCAGCAGTCTTGTTCAGAATATGCAGAGGGACTGAGGAACACCAATGAGGTCATACATGACTTTACCCAGGAAAGTCATAAATCATTTAGCAATAAAATGAAAAGTCACTATGATGTTAATGCTGATAAGATTGTATAAAAAGGATAAACTCCAAAGTTAAGCAAGTGTTGAGAATGGCCATATGATATACTGAAAAGAAACCCGAAGAACAGGTGATCCAAGCCAAAGGATATCCACTGTGATTACTTATGGAAGTATGTTGGGGAGAGAAGAGCCAACTGGGTAATTTTAGAAAAAAATCTGTTAGTGGAAATGTAACTAGCTGAAGAGTTCTGGGTTCCTGTTGAGAACCATTTCCAGAGGACCAACAACGATAGAGCCACCAGTGGATTCACTCAACCAACTGCCCAGCAAGAACTTCCCAAGTGACAGGACAGTAAGTGAAGCCCAAAGACAAAAGGCCATATGTGTGCCATGACCCAAGGAAAGGAAAACTACAATAAAAAAGGCTTGGTGAATGGACAATTTAGCTAAGTTTTATTTTTGTATTAGGATTGTTCAAAGGCTTTCACATTTCAGGAGGGGCAGTGTTGTAAACTATATTTTCAATGTTGTAATTTGTTTAATTCCTGTACTATTTAAATTTGTATCCAAACTCTGTCTTTCAGTAAGGGATCATAATCTGGATTTGGATGTTTGGTAGGAAGAAACTGATTGTAGAGTTTGAGTAGAATTTGTCTGTGTTGTCAACTTTGATTTGTTCTTAAGACTAGTTTCAGAATTGAGATGATGTCCTGAATTGATTTTATGTACGTGTTTCTTGGAAACAGCTGTTTCATCTGTCAGCTCTGTGTCCACTCCATTACCCCCTCATCAGTCAGTTACACCAAAGCATCATAGTTTGACCAGTGGCCAGTCATCTAAATCTGCCATCCCTTCAGTGCCAGTCAGCATCACTCCTGTATTAAACTATGTCAACCATTCAGTTGAGAGTAGGAACAAGGTAAATTTTGTTGTGACATTGAGGTTTAAAATGGTTATGTTACACTATAGTGGTACGTAAGTAGCTGTTAGCTCAGTTGTATACATCTATTCATTTTAAATCTAGGTCAAACAAGTGGTTTTAAAGCACTTTTGTGCAATATTCTTTATTTATAATGAAAAAAGATTTTTTTTTAAAACTTGCTATATCTCAAAAATGCCTATAATTGATTTCAACTGGTGTAAACTGAAAGTCCTTTGAATGGACAGCTACGGTTAAGCATGAACATAGATTTCTGTATTATTAGTTAATTCCATATTATGATATGAATTCAAGTAATCTCATGGACACATTTCTTTCCATCAGTAACTAAACCATGTCTGATCCTTAAAACCATTACCTGACTGTTTAAAAATATAGTAATGTTGCATACTTCTAATTGTTAGGATGCAGAGTTCTCAAGATACTCACAGGGTGGCAGAACTAGCATGAATTTGATGGAGCCAGTAAGTCTCAAAATGGATCAATCCTCCCCTAAAACAATAAAAAGTGGTCTTTATAACATTAAAAGAGAAGAAATGTATTATGAGAACAATGACACTGGCAGACGTCCTCCATCATCCCATCAAAGGTTTGGTTTAATTTAGTATTTTATAGATGAACTGTTCTTTACATGTCATTAGATCTCAAATTTGATTTAGCTGAATTGTAAATATCATAAGCTTCAAAGTCTTGATAAATGATTCAAACTCTTTCAGAAAGAATTACATGGAAGAAGAAAATACACAGAAATATCTGAGATCATTGTTTTTCATTAAATTTTTCTTAAAGCTGAAATATAAAAGCTATGTTTTAGTTGTTTTACACAAAATCAAATTATGTTACAAGTTTATTGTTTTTGTAAAGATAAATTTATATTTCAAGTTTCTGGCTGAATATCTACTTCTTTTTAATGTTATTCGATTAATTTATATCTTCTGTGACTTTTTTGCTACTAGACCTGAAGTGGGAAGAGATAGTGAAGAAAGCCATGCATCTTCCAGTGGATTTCAACTCTACAGAAATTTTGACAGGGCTCGAAACTCCATTTCATCATATGAACATGCTATGCCATATCCTTATCAACCAACCTTTTTACCCCCTCCTCCATCATTTTCACATCAAACTTACAGGTACTTTGTGCATCTGTGTATCTCAACAGGTTTTCCAGTTTTATTCCATTTTATTACTAATGCCAATATTGAGTATTTTGTGTTCAATTCTTTTCATTTGCTCTTTATATATGAGGATTAAAGAATATCATAAATTGTCCAATGTTTAGTAATCACAGAAGAGGTTTAAAATCATTTGATTAGAACACTAAGTTAAACTTCTATAATAAATATTGTTTATTCTTTCAGTAATCACTGAATTTATCACTCTTGTATAATATTGCATTTACTGTTGTTCTTGTATTATAATGAAGAGAAATTGTTATTCTAACAGTATTATGTTCTACATTGGGAATAACAGGTTAGAAGATGCAACATATGTAGATCATTATGGAATGCTCAGAAACACCACGACTCACATACCTTCTTCATCGGCAAGTGTACTCCCATTTGTTGCTAGAAGTCCTTATCCACCAGAAATTTTGGGACAGTCCATCAGAGTTGCATCTCCTAGTGGTCTCTTTACTATCCATGAAAGGTGTGTGCTTTCTTGGTAACAGATATTTTATAACTATGACAACTGTTTAAATATTTAATGCTGTTTCATATGCACAGCTATATTCTAATGTTTGAGTTTCTAAAGCTATGATAATCATTCTTGTACCTGAATTACTAAAGCATGGAAATTTTTATTCAAAACACTGAAAGATAGTTGTAACAAGTAGTATCATATTTGTTATTAATTGGTGCCAGTATGAGATGTTTAAGTTAAACAGTATTATTTGTGAAGGATTACTGAATATCACTTTTTTTTTATTGCTTCTAAAGTACAAAATAGCTCAAAAAAAGATCCTTTAGAAAAATGTATATGACCTTTGAAACTTTTAAGTACATATATTAAGAATGTGATGATCAGATATTGATTGTTGTCACGTCTCATTATTAATTAGTTACTATTTTCATTATTATTACTAGATACTAATTACTCACCAGTTAAATTCAACACTTTTGCTGCAAATCTATTGCTGTCTTCAAGGAAGTCCTGTGGTGGTAGTGGCCCAGATTTGATTCTGGGTCTTCTTGACAGGAAAACTTGAGTGTTAACCACTTGTCCAGGGTCTCTCCTGTTATAAATTGATTCAAGTAATTTATTTCAATAGTTTTAAGAGGGGTATTCTGGTTTTGCTACCTCCTATACTAGATTAATTGAACATATTACCACTTAGGAGGATGTAAAAGGCTTCTTTACTTTTAAATTTCATGTAAACCTCAAAAGTTATTATTTTGCTTAAAAGTATATATGAATGTTTAAAGTTCCCTTAAAAAAAATATTAGGTTCAAAGTCTTCATTGTTATGTATCTTCCACATTTTGTTAATTGACATGATATCAAAAAACTGAAGCATCTTTGGTAGTGGTTCTAATTAGTTCTTCTTCAACAAATCTTATCTTGTCTGAGGGTAATCTTACTTGTGAAGAGTGCAGAGTTTTTTTGTATGGTAACACTGAAAACATAGATTGTAAAACAAAATTTTAGTAATATAAATAACATTTAGAGTAACAAATCCTAAGTTTTGCTAAACAAATTTGTAATATTTTGCTTCAGGTCAGTTTCTCACTTTGAATGTTTTACTTGTAGTTGTCATCTTGTGTACAGAGGTTAAGGACATTATATAAAAAGATTTTGGAGCCTCACAATATCCAATCTTGCTTTTTCTGACAACTGTGCATCTTGACAATAGCCCTGAAGCATAGTTTCCATTGCCAAAGGCTCTGTCATAAGGCTTTCTTGTCTTAGGCTCAACACTCCTTTCTTCATACTTTCTATAGTCCATCTATTGTACAAGGATAATGGTTTCCCTGTGCCTGTTTCAACAGTTTAATTACACAATTGCATTTTCCAGTATTTATTCACATGGAATAGCATGAATACTCATTCCATTCTCCAGCTGCTTTAAGGTGTGTGGCAGTTGAACAGGTGGCATGACTGGATGCATTATCTTGGTGAACTCATACCATATTGGTCTTGTTTTAAGATGGAGATCCTTCTTGCTTATGCTGGATACTGTTGCCTGGGGCATGTTGATGACTTTTGTCACTGACCTTTCTGTTTGTGGATTTTCATATGTTTATCATGGTTGGGGAATGACTTGTTTCAGGTCTCTTTCTGGATGGGTTTGATGCCCTAATTTGATCCATATTCCTTGTTTACCAATGCCATTAATTAAAAGGGATATCTCCATCTTGGAAGTTATAAATCTCTGGTCTGAACATATCTTTATGATTTGAGTGTATGAATATTTTGTTTTGGAAAGGGCTATTACATATCTTCCTGAAAATGACAAATTTTTGGTAGCATCACACTACCTATGAAATGCCAAACAGTATCAAAATGTAGTTCTGATTCATGTCGTTCCATTGTGACTTTATATCAGTTGTGGTTGTCAAGTGACTTGCTGATTTGCACATTTAAAATCATTTTAACATAACATATTCATATCTGTATTTGTGACTGATCATAGGCCTGTAAACAGACACACTTAATTGTGGTATTTCTGGGTTTTCATTTTAAGTTTTCTTTTAAGCATCATGACATTCTTAATTTAACTATCAGTATATTTTCTTGGTATTTATTTGCCCCTTTTAGAAATTTTTAGCAATCAAAAATTTTAGCAACTTTAATAAAATTAATTTTTTTTTTAGTCATGTTGGCTGGCTCTGGTGAGAGCAAGATTTTTTTCTTATTTCAAGTTTGTATATTTTCTTGCCAGTTATTATTAGTTTATACATGATTGGTGACTCTCCAGAAGTGACTTCAAGATAATTGGAAATTTATGGATTTATTGTTTTATTGTGCAGAAATAATTTTGTAAAATAATCATTTTAAGATAAGGAATAATAATATTTTAAAAATTCTTTCTGCTCTGTTTAATAAAACATTCATATTCTGCTACATCAAATAATTTCTTTTGAAATAACACAAGAAGTAACAATGATAAAAAATTGCTCAGTTACATCTTGTCATTCACAAGACTATTTAGAAAACATAATTTATTTGTGGGACTAAATTCTTAGAAATCAATTTGAATTCATAGTTATTTGGAATATTTTTGAAGACACTCATATACAACTTCTCATGCTTGTACCTGTTAAAGAATCTATTTTTAAAGACATGGATATTCTTTTTAACCTAGGGCTAAATATGCAGAGAATCGGGGACAGGAACTCTTTAGACATTCTTCCAGAGAGCTTACCAGTCAAGTTATTCAAAGTCCATTACCTGTGACATTGTCCAGAAATTCTGAATCACCAGGTAGTATTTTTGTATTTGTATTAAGTCATCTGTTGTTTGTTAAGTCAAACATTTTTATCAAACCTGATTGTAATGTTTTAAATTTACGATAACCAAGTTTATAAGTATTTATATGATCTTTCCATACATGTACTAAAAGTTCTTTGATATAATTAATTATAGTTGGATAAACTTTCCAGTGCTGTGGTTGTCCATTGGCAACGAAAAACATAATGAAATATGTAATTAAATGAAAATATCATCTTTATTTTCCAATATAGACAAATAGTAATCCAAAATCTATAAACAGTGTGCTATTTATAGATTTTGGATGACTAATTGTTTCTGATCCAAAATTGATTTATGTATGCAAAAGATTTAATAGCAATCTACACAGTTTATAAATGCTTGTGTTCACAAGTCAGTTTTATCGTATGACACTTTTTTTATTTTGAAAGATTAATATTCAAATTTCATATAAAATTTTATAAGTTTGATGAACTAGAGCCTCCAATAAGTTCTTGAAATACTACTCATTGCAATAATTCCATCATTATATATTTGGAATTAACTTTCCTTTGACACCAATACTTGTTTGTAATACTGAATATTGTGATTTCTTAGGCCATCCTGGATCCATCACCTATGGAACCCCACGTGAACACTCCAACAAACATTCCTCTCCACCTGTTGCAGCCTCCTCTACACCCCTTAATCTTGTCAGATGCAGCAATCAAAACACTAATAAGTGGGATTCTCATCATCAGATAGTATCGCAATGTTCACAGGCCAAAAGTCCACAGGAAGAATTAGGATTTAACCACTCCATATATTTACAGCAGGTATTAGCTCATTGGCAGAATACAGTCAGAAAATAATTGTATAAATTATGGTAGTGTAGTGTAAACATGTTTAACTGAAAAGGAACAACTAGTTACTTATGAAAAAATGACTTACCTTGACATTTTGCCTTACGATTTTTTCAAGATATTAACTCTTTCCCGATCACAAAAGTAGTTTTAATACAACTAACAGCTGGTACAATTTAAAGGTCAAACAACATGTTCTTAATAATTGTCACAAATGATATCAAATTCCAACAGTATAATGGAACAGTGTATATTTTAAAACAGTTACTTAGTGAAGAAATAGGAGATAAATAAGTATAGACTTTACTCTTATGTAGAAATATCTTTGCAATATTAGGTCAATTTGTTTATCAAAACAGTTTATTTTGATTTAAATTGCCTATGCTTGATTGTAAGTCAGTTATCTTGTTAGTATTTTTTAGTTATATTATGGTGAAGGTATGGGTTTGGTAAAAAAAAAATGTTATATTTGTAGACAATTTTTAAGTATTAAAGGAGTCTTAAAGCTGCTAAAATTCGACATTTTTATAACAATTTGTTTATCAAATGCAGTTAGAATGTACAAGTCACCCATTAATCAACTTGAAGATAGTAGGAAATATTCTATGTGATATCGTATGATAAACAAAGAAATTTATTTATGTGCTTAAAAGAAAAAGTTTAGTGTTCTTATATGATATAAGTTTGTTTTTATTAGGAGTTACAGCAGCCTTTGGCAATGACAGGAAGAAGGCCAGTAATGAGTGAGCTTCAGTCTATCTTCAGAGATAAAAATTATAATAAAAATCATTCCATTTCTCAGAGAAGACAAGGTCCCATTTCCCCAACTATGGATGTAAGTTATTCACGAAGCTCATCTTTACCAAGCTCTAGCCATCCAATACATTCAGAAAGATTGATGCTAAAACCAACAACCTATTCCTCAAGACTAGAACCACTGGATAGGTTGACTCTCCTCAACCAGGAGAGGAAGAGTGTTATATCTGCTGATAATAGTCCCCATTCACAAGCTGAAATGTGTAAGACAGGGGCTGTTCCTCCAAGAGTCCTAACTCCTCATAAATCCAATTTCAGTAGCACCTTAAGTGAACCAAAATCAACATTAGGAGAGATCATTACAAACCTGACTGTAAACAAGGCTCAGACTATGTTTGAAAATCACTTGGATACCTCTGTATTGAAAACTGAGGCTATCGGCAGAGACTTAACACAACAAGTTATTCCTAATGTGCAAGTTCAAAAAGCTGGTTGTAATACTCAAGCAGCAATAACAGGCTGCACCAGTCAGTGGTCTGGACTTGTCAGTAAGCTTGATTTAGAGTGGGAGAAACTTCAGAAGGCCAGGTTGGCAGGTAAATGTGGAGACAGTGATGATGAGGTGGAATCAGAAAATGAGGAAAACTGTTTAAAAGAAATTTTGATTATTACCAAAGGACCCCCCTTATCACTTGATCTCAGTCCAAAGGTATGTCTGTTTTCCTTTATAGTTATCTGTTGTTTCTTGAAGAAATTTAAGCCAAAATGTGGTATATGTAATACATAATTCCATTAAATAACTCTGCTCACACAATAGCTTTTTAGGATCTTCCACTGCCCTCTAATGCATTTAAATAAATTTTCTTGCTTGATGCACTTGCCTTTAGTTCGAGCTGCTCATTTAGCATGTGACAACCCTCCACCAATAGGAACACTACACACTTTCCTAGATTAGCTGGCTTCCTCTGTACTGTTTTATATAACAATATAAATATAACAGCTGGTGTTCCTCTTCCACCTCTTTGTCCAGACTTGCATATCCTGGGAGTTGGTTGCATCTGGGCTTAATGTCAATGTTTTGGAGCTCTTAGCTGTATCTTTTCCTCCATCTTCTGAGGGTGAAGGTGGTTATGGTGCATTCCAACAACTCCATAGTGGTCTCATACATTACCAGACAAGGGGCTACCAAATCTACGTCCCTTTGTTTTTGTACTCTGGAGCTCCTATTCTGGGCCTGTGTGCACTGGATACAGCTCTTGTCTTGCCATATTCCCGGTACTTTAAATATTGTTGCAGATCAGTTATCACATCCACACAAGTTGGTAACAAATGAGTAATTTTCACCTTTCCATTGTCTAAAATGGCTGCAACTTTCAAACTATGGTGAACAATTAGCTTAGACTGTCAATGTAGCATTTCTGTTTTTTGTTTTTTTAATGGATTTGAGGACAGATTGGATATGAAACAACCTACAAAGATGAGAAACCCTATTACAACATGAGCAAGTCTAGATGTTAGGCTTAGATGCACTGTAGTATGGTACATTTCTAGTCCATTTAATTGGGAGGCTTATAAGTTATAAGTAAGAACAAATTTAAAGTACAGTTTTCTGGTGGTTATGCTTTCATCTGGGAACCCTGTACATAGATGTATATGCCACCCATCTGAACAACAAACTGCTGTCTTTTTGGTCTCTGGTTCCTCAACCCTTCAGGGTAGATGCCTTCAGTCAGGAATGGAGGGGCCTTCACATTTATGTCTTCCCAATTATTTGTCTCCTCAGCAAAGTAATCTCCCTCATCCACACCACTCAGTGTCGAGTTCTCTTGGTGGCTCCCTTGTGCCTGGCTCAGCCTTGATTCCTGAGGCCTTTAAAATTGTCACATTTCTCTGCTCCTCCTTCTGTCTCTTTTTCTTATCCATCAATCTTATTTGGACATCTTCCATCTTGCCATTCCGATCCTTTCCCTCCTGTTCCAGTCTTTTCATGTTCTTCGTCCTCACTGTGCTTTTCTTGTGACTGATTGGAATCTCACTGTTGTCCTTTTTGCCCTTTCCAAACCTCCCTTTTGAACCTTTGGCTTCATGTTCCTTGTATCATCTTTCCCTCTAAATCTATTTTCTTCTCCTCCTGGCTTGCCATTGTCATAGGTCTGACCTTTGTGATCGATGTTTCCTTTACCTTTTTATTGTAGTACATATATTGTGCTATACTGGACCGTTCCATCCTTCTCAAGACCTCTGCTGCCTGTGAGGGTGATTCTGCCTTTGCTCCCATCTCCATCCCTTCCATTTCCCATATTTATTCCCGGCCTGATCTGGATTGATGTCTGTGTCCTGAGCAGGCTCTGCAGTGCTATGTAGCTCATATAGCTTCCTTTCGGGGTTCCCATTTGTTTAATCCCTGGAACCTTTCTGTGGCACATGCCCTCTTCTCCATAACCCTTACAGATTGGCTTACTCTTCCCTCTCCTTGGAAGGGAGTCATCTTTATTGTGTCTCTTCTTATCAGAATCGATATATCACCATGTCTCTAGCTGCTTGTTTTATTCATCCTCTGGCGGAGATCATCCAGGCTGGAACATGGACTACTCACCATAACTTTGTTGCTTTCTACATACACTATCTGTCTGTGGCTTTCTCTGGTGGATATTGTGTACCTCCTGTGGCGATTTTACATGCTTTGGTTCAACCCTAACTTGTGTTAGCATCTTTTTCTAGTATTTTTTTCAGAGGCCTCCTTTTTTTCAATATATATATTCAGATTTCACTCAGTGGTGAGTGTTGCCTGGTCAGGTATGCTTTCCTATAAACCCACACCGAATACCTTTATGGTGATAACACACACTGTTGAGACGGGGTGTTCCACAAGATCACTAGGGGTGTGTATATATATATATATATACATATCTGTTTCTCAATATGTCGAATTCTGGTAATTACTAGGCAGACCATCACTCATTGACTGTCATGAGTAAAGCAGAAGGGGACGGCTTGCCCATCCCTGCCACTTCTTTGATTGAATGAATCAGGAGTGGTTTGTTTTTCAAAATAGGGTTTCATGGTCACCCAATGCACTTTCTCCTGTGTGACATTTCTCCAGACTCCCTAATGCCTTTTACCCCCTCCTTTCCTCGAGAGGAGTTTGGGAGTCCTTGCAACTTCCCAGTTCCTAGCCACTGTTTTGACTTACCTTAGTTTTATTTTTCTAATTCTTATGAGTTTATGAAAAATATAATTCACAAACTGATATCTGTGTTATTTCATAAGTGACATGTTGACAAATTTAAAATTTATTGATAAAATTATAGTATTCACAGAACTTGTTCCACAAAAAAATCTACTATCTAATGTGAGGGCTGGTGTAAAAGAAACCTATAGTTTTCTTTTTTAAATTTTATATGTATATTTTTCCCCACTAACTTCCCCAAAATAACACTCAGTCGAATTTAGCCTAATTCCCAGTCACACTTATGTTTTATGTATTCTGAGTTGTGTTTATTTATTGGATTAGGCCTTCAGTTGTCGGATATGATGGGCCAAAAAAAAAAGCTTTGTGACATTGGTTATTTTGTGTTTTTCACATTTTATGATTATATCTATTTAATCACTTCTAAGAAATATATGTTTTCAAATTTACACAATACTCAATATTGACTCAGAATTTTGATCTCAAGGCTACATTTTGGGAGTTCCTCAATTTAAGAGTTCTTCTCAATCTCTTTTCAAAAACAATTGGTAATAAATAATAAAACACTAAAACTAGTGTAATGAACCAAGCTTACATAAATATGGGTGTTACAACATTTTTAGTAACAAATTTGTTCTCAAGTGAATTATCAAGAGTGTGGTTTGGCTACTAAATCGAACAAAATTGTTTCTCAGGCACGGATCATCTCAGCAAAGTGTTTTATGCTAAATGCAGAACATACTTTGAAGTTCCCAGAGTGTACTAATTAATTTTCATATCTCATACATGAATTATTATGAATAATTACATTTGTTATTATTGTGAAAATGTAAATATGGACAGTACTGTTTCATTTTATAGGCACTTAATAAAATTTGGGGTGTGATTTGTTGGATAATTCAGTTTCTTCAAGTTCATTCTCTTAAGACAGATTATAGTTTCTTTTAGGCATCTAACAAACATTTTTATTAATAATTTATTCAAAATATTTATTACATTAAGTGTTGCATATAGGCAGTTATTATTTCTTTAAATCTAAAAGCAAGGTTAGTGACATTTAATTTTTGTTACTATGTCACCAACTTAATGTTAAATTATAATTTTTTAAGCTGGTACATGTATTTTATGTTTAAATTTTTCAGAAACTTGAATTTCTTGATACAGTTGGTTTGACAACTCATCAGAAAAAACAAGGTATTTATTAGTATATGAAACAGTTCTTTTTATTGGAATGCAGTCAGCTTATATAACCTTGTATTTACAGCATTGTATACTAAAATGCTGTACACTAACTAGTGTCTGAACTAACTAGTATAATGATAACCATGTTGTGTTAATCTAGTGTTTAAAAGTGATCAATGTTTGTGACACACAACCTTTTTATAGACCTACACAAATGATGTGTATTAAATACTTTCATGAAAAATAATTAAAATTACATTTCTTTAAATATTATTAATATGAAACTCTGAATGAAAATAAAGTTTATAATAAAATTCCAACCACATAGTTTGTGATTTCTACTTGTTACATTTTGTAAGTAAAGTTACTATTTTTATATACAGTTACATAAGAAGTTTTCATAACAGTTGTGAAAGATTGGTTAGTTTTTTAGAAACTTTCCATCTCACTTGATATTTCATTTATAAAACTGTAATAATTTACATACATTTATACAGATGAAAAAAAATATTTTGGAATTTCTTTGCAGAGCTAGAGTTTGCTAAATATCTTCAAGGGAGAAAAGTTTTACAAGAACGACCAGTTTTCCCTCTAGACAGCAATAACACCAGTAGAGAGTGTTCTCCATTGCCACTAACAACAAATATCACTTCTGAAGAACTATGTTTTGCTGCTGACTTTCCACATAAAGTTAAATTTTTACAGTTCCTTGCTTTGAAGTTAACAACTTTTCAGGAGAAGATAGGTAAGGAGTAACGTTTATGAAAAATGTTTTACAATGACCATGTTAAATACCATCTAACAGGTTAATGAGTTATTTTTTTATCTATAATACTTTTTTTTACCTCATGGCTCAAATTATCCAAATAATATCGAATTCATTAATTATGGTAGTCAGGTATTGTATTTGTTCATAGAATTTTGATGATGTTAATGGTATTTATTTACTTTCATTGAAAACACTTATGGAAGCAGTTTTTTTATGCTGATTTATACAAAGTTCAAATAACAATGCTAAACTGTATTTTTAGTATAAAATTTTCTTATACATTACCCTGGTAAATAACAAGAAGAAAAGATTCCAAATGAAATAACTAAAAATAAAAGAACATCATAATTGTCTATGAGCAATTGACTTGCACAAGGATGTATTAAACTGTCTAATTCTAATTGTATGGATGCTTTGATATGATTTAGGCTATCTAAAGTATTAGTAAGTAAAAATTGTATAACCACATTGGCAACATCTAAAATTGGAAAAGTGAAACAAACAGCAGTGGAACCTTATAAATAATCTAGAGTAATAACCTTGTTCACATAACCCAACTGGAAGTCCTTTCTTGTTGATCAGTTTCTTAAGCCATCTAAGCAGTGTGCTGCTGTTAATGGTAGGGCAAATAAGATTTAAGGTTGTATGTACAGGAATACTGAATACAAGTCTAATGAGGCTATACCATTGTATAAGTTGTTGGTTAGGCCACATTTGGAATATTGTGTTCAGTCTTGCTCTTTACTTCAGGAGAGACATTGAATTTTTAGAAAGGGTTCAGAGGAGGGCTACTAGGATGATACCTGGAATGGAAAGGTTGTCATACTAGGACAGGTTAATGTTTCTGAAATTATTTTATCTTGTAAAAAGAAACATTAGATGGGACCTGATTCATGTGTTTAAGATTGTTAAGAGAACTTAACATGTCAATGCATCTTTTTTTTGGGGGGTACTTAATGCTGAAAATGGTAGGACCAGGAAGCACAATCATAGACTTTGGCAGGATAGGAGTTATCTTCAGTTAAAGTAGTTTGTTTTTTCTAACGGAGTAGTAGGTGATTTTTGAAATGGGTTGTTTTCAGACATTGTGGAAACTGTAATTTTGATTGATTAGGGCTGGCTTTAAGATTTTTTTTTCAATTGTTTAGTGGATGGGAAAACTTAGATGGACCAACAGGTCCCTTGTTGTCCTTAAATGTTATGAGGCAAAAAGCAGAAAATGAAGCAAGGTTACATATTGCAATTTTTTTCTTTAAAAACAATTATTAATCTTGGTAAAATAAAAAGTTATTTGTTTATTAATATGGATATTTCAAGTTTGAATCGAAAAAATATAGTAAGAACACAAGACAATTAAGTGAAAATCATGATGGATTGCTCTTTTGAGATATGACCAATGGACAGGAAGAGAACAAGACCATTTAAAAGGTTTACATTTTTGATTCACAAATATTCTTTCTTACAAATACTTTTTTTAGTTATTTCTTTCAATGTCAGTTTTTTATTTGTAGTTTTGTGCATAACTACTGATAAAATTTTACAGTTCTCTTTAATAATTAAAGGACTAGCTTAGGATTTTGAAGCATCCTTATAGAAGAAATGTTGTAGAATTTGAAACTACTTTGATACAAGAACTAACTTAGCATTTCATACCACATTAATACAATACTAGCTTAGCCTTTGGAACCACTTGAATACAAGGACTAATTTATTTACTTGAACTACCATAATTAACATATGGATTACTTTAGCTATGTGAACCACCTTAATACATTAAAGGCTTAGTTTAGTTTAGGAACCATCTCATTTGGAACTAACATTCATATATTAGTTTGGCGAGTGAAACTTAATTTATAACAAATGAAACCCCCTTTAGTTACTAGTTATTCCTCCTGTCAGATCTATCTCTACTTATGAAAAGATCTAAAGTATTGTGTTTTCTACATACAGAGATTGAGAGAAAGTGGAAAGTAACTGAAGAAGGCAGAGTTCGTCAAAAGCAAAAATTAAAGTCTAAATGTCAAAAGAAGGCCAAAGTCCGTGACAGAAAACCAGGTAATGTGGGCCTAACTTTGATATTATTTATATGACTTGTACTAGCAAGTATAGTAGATTTATTTGGCAGTAGGGCACTGTATTAAAATACATATTAATAATTTTAATCATCAGCTCTATAATATTACCATACACATGTATAGTAGTAGCTTATATTTACTTAAATACAAAGACAATTTTAAAATTATTGTAATGGATTCTTTAATTCCAGAGTAGAATTCTAGGAAAGATATTTATCTAATGAATATATACATATATATACGCATATATGAATTGTTCATAAAGAGCTTACACTCATGTATACAATATAGCTACATATTTGTGATTACCTCAAAGGAGGTATTATATTAGACAACCATATATTCAATTATTTATTTTATATTGGCTTGAAAAGGAAAAAAACAAATGATCATGTCAGTACAAAAAGCTCAATATATATCATAAAAGTAGTGAGCAATTACAGAATTCTATGATTTCATGAGCAATCCATTGATAACACAGGCCTGCGATGGTTTTAGTTTTATCTGTTCTACAGTAATTCCTGTAGCTGAATCCAAAAATGATATCCATTTTTCTCCATCGCGTACAGATTTTTCACAAAATGTCATAACACAATACATAATAGAAAGACTACAACATGTAATTTTGAGACTAAAAGACGTGGATTTCACAAAACAAATCAGGATGAATGAGGATGCATATTTGTTTGACAGTCAATGTTCTTCCCTTTTCTTCTGTTTGTTTGTATTTTTGTTAAGAAACATAATAATAAAAAATATTTATTGTGGTAAATGAAGTAATAATTTGATCTAAGTAAGAGGTTTTGTTTCTTCCTGATTTGTAAAAAATTCTTACGTGATAGAAAAAAATGAATATTATTTTCGATATTTAAATAATTTTCAATATGCAAATCAGTGAGTCATATGACAACCATAACTGATAGAAATCTGTACAAGAACTACATTTTGACATTGTTTAGCATTCATAGGTAGTGTGATGCCACCAGAAATTGATTGCATTTGGGAAAAGTATTTAACAACCTTTTCTGACAAAAAAATTACTTGTGCACTCATATCATAAAGTTATGTTCAGATTGGGAATTTAGAATTTTAAATAAAGGAAATATATGCAGCACTAATTATTTGGGACTACTTACCTCAGTACTAAATTGAATATGCATATGTTACCATGATAAAACACTCAACTCAATTTTCTTTTAAATTAAACAGCAACGAAAAAAACAACCAATTGGTCACCATATTTACAATACTTTGTTTCCTTCATCTTCAGTTTTGGCAACAATCCTACGCAAATTGTATTAACAAGTTTAATTTTATAGTTCTTTGCATGCCTCATGTCCTGCTAACACAAATTATTTGAAAAAATTGAACTTTATTGTTTCTTATGTAAATAATAAGCCTTTTGAAAATGTATTTAACGTTACATAACCTGTATAACAGAAATTATAGATTAGTCCAGATGCAAGCCATATATTACTGGCAGATTCTGATAACTTCATTTAAAACATTTGAAAAGTAGATATACAGTACACTGGATACTGTGCATAATACATACTTACCAATGAATTAAAAAAATACTAACTGGGTGTTGCCACTTTTTAAATAAAAATGTTTGGGATGTTTGTTTGTTTGAAGTTAAGCACAAAGCTGCACAATGGGATTTCTGTGCTTTGCCCACCACAGGTATCGAAACCCGGTATCTAGTGTTGTAAGTTTGCATACATACTACTGTGCCACTGGGGGGCTCGAGATAATGTTACATGAGCAATGAACAGTATATTTTAACTTCAAATATCAGCATTTCATTGTTTTTTTCTGTATGAAATTATATGTATTTTTGTATCTTAACATATTTATTTGTTGTATTTCAGAGGGAGAAAATTTCGTTTTGTTCTAGGAAGCAATACCATAAGACTTAATTTCATGTGCAAGTAGATACAAAACTGTTGAGATGTCATCCCTCCTAGTGTTACATTACTGGTCTAGTAATATATATGTGACCTTTGGAGTGGCTTGTAAAATATCATAGGTGTAATTTTTTATCTGTACTTCAGAATGCTCAAATTTAGAAATAATGTAAATGAGGAGAAAATGCACTTTTCTTTAAAGGAAAATTTTATTATAGTTTCAATTACAACATTTATGTTGTTATATTGATAACTTAGTCATTGTGGTTGCATATTTTATGAAAAAATAAATATTTGTTTGCAATTTATGTGCACATCTTATTTTGAGATTTCAATGATGTAACTTCTGCTTATGCAATTTTCACTGTTAAATTAGAAATAACTTCATTGGAGAGGTTACCAATGAGAAGCAAAAAACGAAGATTACAGCCTAGTCCTAACCAATCAGTATTTAAACTATTAAACACAAATGTTTACTGCTGGTTTGATGTTCTTACCATATCTAAAATTATGACTACATAAAAGCTAAACATTTTACAGTTGAAGTGGTCGAAGAAATTAGGTATCAATTTATGGGAGAAAAAAGTTAGTCTTTACTGAAACTAAACAAACACAAGCCCATATAATTTGCAAGTATGCTTCCATTTTTGCTAATTACGTAGAATTAAATTATTTCGACAGTGCCTAAAAACAGAACACACATACCACTGGTTTGAAGATTTGAGAAAGATACATGGAGTTTAGTAGCAGCTGTTATTTTAAGAGGAGGGTTGTAATCTTCTTGAGCTGAAGCTTCATTTAGGATATATAACATTTTGGGAGTACGTGACATTTGATATAGTACATGGAATTTCAAAATGCTACAATGAAATATATGTAGAAGAATTTTCACAGAACTGGCTTTTATTAACCAGAGGATGAAGCGTGCCTGTAAAGAATGTAGTACTTTTAGTGAACAGATGTTCTTACCAAGCTGTTTATATACCCAATTATTAAAAGAAAACTTTCTATACAGTTAAAGTAGTTCATCTTAAGTCCACAAGAAGCTGATGTTTAAAAAAAAAGATATTAAAATGTTACAACATTCTGGTAATGATAATAATTAAAGCAAATGAAAACTATTCTAGGTCATTCAACTTAAAAAGTTTTGTATGTAGAGATTTATATTTGATTTTTACATGTCATACAGAGCAAGATGTCCACTCAGCTGTCAGTGCAATTCCTCGTTACTCCAATCCTTCTCCTGGACAAGACAGTGATTCTAAAAGCCAGAAAGTGGTCTCTGTACATAAAACATCAGGCATGAAACACGAAAAGCTAGCCAAAGATTTTGTACAGGAGTTTCACAAGTCAGTGTTAGAAACCACCCAGCAACAGTTAGGTAAGTCATTAAAACTTGAAAGTATCCTATTAGTAAACCTTTTTAAGATTTTAAGTACATCAAAAATATATTATTAGAATCCTTTTAGGCCTAGCAAACTATTCATCTTTATATGTGCCAGTTGCCTTAAAAAAAAATTTTTGACATACTTTGTAAATATGAATGTTTCATGTTAAAGCTTTCTGCAGATATTAAAATACAGTACAATGTGAAATAATTAAGTCAAGTACCTACAGTGCAATTAATTGTTTCACAATAAATTGACCCTTGCTGTGTGTGAATGAATTATTCAACTTCTTTAAAAAAAACCTAAACTCTTTATATATACAGCTGGGCAAAATCGCCAGTGGTCAGCAAAGAAAAGGACAGGGATCAGTTCACCTCCAACTCTGGACTTTCCTGAAATGATAAGTTATCGGGAAAAGGCTGAGAAGTACCATTGGCCCGGTATTGAAGTGATAATGGAAGTCTATGAAAATTACTTAAGAGGTGAAATTAAGGATTTATGTTTTATTTTATCAAACAGTATTTTTATTGGACATTTTCTTGCCTTCACTAGGAACTTTTTGAACAATCTTTATGACAGAAACTTCATAATAACGTTCACTTCGTAATATTAACTTTATACAGAATATTTAACATTTAATGGATTTCGTAAAACAATGCTGAATTGTTACAGTTCTGTAGTAGTTTTAAATAAAGATAGAATAAGCTTCTTACAAAAAAAAAGTTTTCTGTTGAGAAAATTCCAGTTACTACAAATCTTTTCAAATGCTGATGTAACTTGGAGCTTCACAGGCAGTACTTGAAATTCTGAGAAAGTAAAATGTATGACGAAAAACAATATCTTTGTGTTCAATTAAAGAGCAGTTGCAAGCTGCAAAACCTGCAGTGCTGGTTCAAACTATTGGATTTTCATATTTAATGAAGTAAGAAATTCACATGTCACACCTAACTGCTTTTAAAGCTTACAGTAACTGTTGGAATTTTAGAGCACCAAGATTAAATGGGTTGAGATAAAAATTCAAATCTTTGTTGTTTTTTAGGTTCTTATCATAATGTCTTGAAAAGGAAATTCTATGGCTAGCTAACTCAAATTAACCAAAAAGTGGTCAGTTTATAGACGGTTTAGATATTGTATCTGTCTCGTAATTTTTTTGCACTGTTGCACTGCAACGTGATTTCAAATATGTTGTCCATTAAGTTTTAACTATGTCATTTATATCAAGAATTGTTTGAGAGAGTTTGCAGTGCAAAATAATAAATTAGGTCACTCACAACAGATTTAAAATTGTTCATTGAATTCCCAGAACAAAAGCAAGAACAAGAGTTTCTGGTAGAAAGGTGCCATTATTTACAGAGGAAAAACCAAGATGCTAACAATAATGCAGAGAGGCTCCATTATCAAATGACTGTAAGTTTGTTTTTCATTTATTAGTGGTAATACTAACTTGTACCTAGAATATATAGAATTGAAACTGTCTGGTGATTATCACTACAGAAATACCCCATCTTTCAGATATTGATAAATGCTCTACATATTTTGTTCTATGTTGGTGAGAGTGAGAGTAGTTTGTCACACAATTAACACAGCTGAAGGGTATTTTTCTTTCTAGGATGACACTATGTTATTGAAAAATGTTTGTAAATCACTGAAGCATAATATAATTACATACATTTATTATACAGTAACTGCTACCTCTGTTCATTAGATAAAACAGTTATGTTAGAGATATATACATATTTTATACAAGAAATCTTTATCTTTTATCATAGGAACTTCTACAATTAAAGTATCGACTAGATGAAGAAAGACACGGCCATCAGGCTGCAATTGACTACTTAAAAAGGACTCTGCAGCTGATGAGGTAGTATCCAAATTGTGTCAAGTGTTATTTTGGACCTGCATAACGTGATTGCATTTCCAGACTAGTGTTTCAAGTAAACAGTGGGAAAAGAAGACTACCACTGTAAAAATCTTACTTTCATCTCATCATATATTTACACAATTCCATTACTTGACAGGGTAGTCTTGTTCTAGCCTTGTTTTGTGTTTGTGCTCTAGAAATTGCTGTAATTTAAAAAAAATAATTTATTTTTTCTTGATGAAATGAAGTAGCATGGTAGTGTGACACTTATTGACAAAGTTATTTATTGCTTCACCATAGCTACTGTGTTATCATTTGTGAAGGACCAACACTTCAAGGAGAGAAGGGAATAATAACTTATTCTTGTACTGGTTTTCTTTTTCATATACAATTTTGGTGCAAACTTTTTTATACAAATCTCAAAGACTTTTGCCTTTTTTTTTACTATCTTTTAATCATGTGTGGAGTGTTATTTGTGCTTAGAAATTTCTGTTGTAGTTAAATTTAAGTATTTACTATATAAAGCATTTTTGTAATAAACAAAATACAAGGGAACTTAACTAAATAATTTATTAAAAATAACTCTTCTTTCTATGTAGAACTTCCTTCTACTGGGAAAGTTTATATAATTTTGATAATGGTAACTATGTAATAATTTTATCTCTGCATTGATTTTAAGGATGAAATTATACAAGTAGAACACTCAGCTGTACCTATATTTCTAAATTTTTTGTTTAGCTTAATGGCTACCTCCTCTTTGTAGAAACTATAATTGTGTGCTGCCATTTAGTTCTGAACTAAATGCAACTATGGAATTTTGAAGTAAAGAAAAACCATTAGAAAAAAAGTGAGTTTTACATACAATTCAAAAAGTCATGTTAAATAATACAAAATTACAAAACTTCTCTGGTAAAATTGTGATAAAAAGGACTTAATAACATACCATCTAGAAAAACTAAATGTAAGTTAGACTGGTAGTTTTGTAAATCCTGTAGTTATTGAAGTGACTCAATAGTTGTATCCACTCTGGTAATTTCATCAGTTGGAGCATCTGGACTTCTTTCTAAAATTCAATTTAACATACAAAATACAATAATAAAATTTTGAGGTACCTGAAATTTTATTGTGATTATATCAGATATTAGATACATATTTGTGTATAACAAATTTTAATTGCAATGTATTTAAAAATTTTCCATTACAAGTGCCCATTTTTTGTTTGCACTGTGTAAAAACACTAACAAACTAGGTTCAATGTGTACTGAAGAGGTCAAGGAAGCAGTAAGAATGTCAATATATATCAGTAACAACCTAATAAATCTGTAGCACTGTTCTTAGCTCACTTGTGTGTGGATTTTATTAGTGTGTATATAATGTATATAATTTACTTTCTGTCAGTTTTTAAACTTGTATAGAATTGTGGGTTCAGGCTTAATATGAAGTCCACTATCATAATACAAGTTTAATAATTTTTATTAACACAATTTTTAGTACCAAATGATAGTTTTAAACCTTGATTATACTGTAAGGTATTTTAAAGGAAAAACTAAATACCAAAAATTTTCATAATATACAGATAACCAATTTAGCCCTGACAACACTGAATGTAACTATAAACTGAAAAAACAAAAAAAATCAGTATGTTCATAAATCTGTCTCCAACAAAAATTAACCACCACCTCAAAGAGTCTTAGTTTTTTACAAAACACCTTAGAACACTTGGTAGTCCCAGTGTTACTAGAAAGTGTAAATGCAAAAACAAGAGTAATTTAAAATTAATAAAATGCTATGCTATATTAACGTCTATCAAATTCAAGTTCACACATGCTCCATGCAACTCTAAATAAATGTCTTGTTTGAAAATCTCTTTTACTCAGTAGAGAGTTCACATATACGTTTACAAGTAAGAAAATAAACATGTTTGTTGTCTTTATTTTTTGTGTATTCACTGTATTGTATTGAAGAAAACGGTTATGAGGCCCGTGCTCGTCATTCTCTCAGTTATATGACCCGCTGTGAAAAAAGGTTGGTGACCCCTGTATTGAGAGATAACTGAACTTCCAAGTATTTTTTCTTAATTTTTTCTCCATCTACTGAGAGATAAATGAACTTCCAAGTATTT